CAGCTGCAGCCGGCATGGAGGGGCCCCCGCAGAGCCTTATTGCCCGACGCCCACCTTGTGGTTTGCTAGGTCCAAGAGGGAGTTGGATGGCACCCCTTTCTTGGAGACCCCGCAGGGCAGAGCCTTCGTGCCAGTGTTCCGGCACCTGCGGCTGGCCTACATAGTCTGTGACCTGCCATCAGCACGCATCATTGACCAGGATGCACTGATCCCGGCCACGTGGCTGACCCCAGTGTACAAAGACCAGTGGCTTGCCCTCCTCAAGGCTGAGCAAACCAGGGGGCCCAGGCGTGTTGAGGTCCACGTGTCCAACTTCCAGAGGAACAGCATGCGGTGCGGGCACCAGGTCCACAGGGAAGAGACATGCAGCTGGCGGTGGGCAGGCTTCAACTTTAGCTGGGACTTGGTAGTGTGCTACTCCAACCGGCGCGTCACCTTCAGGCGCAGTGCACTGAACGATCCCCACGGCCTCGGGGGCAGCTTACTCTGGCAGGGAAAGATTGCCTTCCGCCTGTGCCTGGTTTCCCTGGACAGGGCTGGAAGAACCGTTCTCAGGCAGGACACAGAATACCAGGTGCTTTCCCTGGGAAAAGATGAAGAGCTAGAGGTAGCGAGCCTGGAGAACCAAGATGTGGTCTTCCCCATATATGTGGCCTGTAACTTCCTGCGCCTCCCCAGAGAGAGGTCCTACCAAGAGTAAGGACCCCCACAAAAGCTCAGAGAGCCCAGCAGCTCTTTTCTGGGCACAGGAGCAGCCAGCTTTCTCTAGATGCCACATCTCTCCATGGGATCAACTGGCCTTGCCCATCTCTGGTGACCAAATTCTGTCAGAGGCCCTGTTGAACTGTAGCTTTTGATACTTGAGACTATTTACCAGCACTTATGAAGAGGACACATTTTGAAGCCCTCAAGCACCTCAAGAACTCATTCCTGCTTTCATGTGGCAACTTGTTCTCCTGGTTTAACATACATAGACACCCCCCCACCTCATTTCTGAGAAACAAAAAACAATTGACTTTAAAGAAAATCTCTACAACTCTTGGTATAGCTCTTTTTCTTTCTTTTTTTTTATTTGCATTTCCCTGATGGTTGGTCATGTTGAGCAACTTTCCATATGCTTATTAAGTATTTTCTTTGATTAAATAAAATTTAAAGGAATACTTTGACTTCTCTTTGACTTGGTGTGTTTAGAGCTGCCCTGCCGACTCATTACCACCACCACTGGATCCATTGGGATTTTTACCCCTTTCCCATTTCCTGCAACTGAGTGTATTACTTGCTTTACACATTCTCTCCCTAAGTGAGCACACGTAGGCTACACCAATGATCTTTTTGTATGTTTGTCTTCAACCTAAGAGTATCTTTTTAATTTTTGAGGGACCTCCATACTGTTAACCATGATGGCTGAACCAGTTTACACTCCCACCAACAACGCGGGAGGGTTTGTTTTCCTCCACAAATCTTCACCAACACTTGTTATCATTCTTCTTGTTGATAATGGTCATTTTTACAAGTGTAAGGTGGTTTTGATTTGCATTTCCCTGGTGGTTGGTCAAGTTGAGCAACTTTCCATATGCCTATTAAATATGTGAATGTTTTTTTGGAAACATGTCTTTTTAGTTCCTCTGCCCATTTTTAAACCAGACCACTTCTTGATTTTATTGGGTTGTACAAGTTCTTTATAAATGTGGAATAGTAATCATTTTTCATACATGGTTTGCAAATATCTTAGTGTGCGATCCATGACAAACGTGGTTCAGGATTCGGGATGTGGAGAAGGGCCGTGCTCAAATGACAGAGATGAGACAAGAAATAATAATTTGGAAATATTGACGCAAGGGGAAGGACTTCCACTGGTGCCCAGGCCTTGCCAACCTTTTATTCAATTATGGATACACATATAGCCCTTAGTCAGGCAGGCAATTCTGGTAACAGACAGACTATCTTAAAGTTCAGTAAATATTAGTAAAGATTTACTCTGAGACTATTTGGTCAGGAAACTGCTTGTCTCAACTAAACAATCAGTGCATAGCTCTGGCCCTTGCCAGGGCTCAAGGTTCACCAGCATTCTGGGCTCCTTGTTTACACCTCTCTGATAATCAAGACAATGGGTAGCTTCCAACATCTCCCCCGTGTCTTTTCCTTAATAAATCTTGAAAAGTGAATGCCGCCTGAAGGGTTTGAGTCCTTTTATGACTCTTCATTCCGAATCTGCAGACTAGAAATAAACATATGAGAACAAAAATGAGACAAGCAATAGTGGTTATGCTGAGAGGCAAATGTAAGGAGATCCAGTGGATGGGGTTAAATTCATATCCTTTTGTTGCCAGGCATCTAAGGGATTAGTTTGTAAGTTTGCCTGGGATAATTGTACAATATGCTGTTGTAATTCTAAAATATCAAGGGTGGTGTTACCTTTACCCCAAGCACCAAGAAGGTGATTTTTTATTGATTCCCAAGGGTGCAGGGTACTATTATAGGGAACGGGGGTAACACATCTAGGAAAAATTATAATGACACTGCAAGGATATTCTTTGCTCTAGGCTGTAGATTTTATCACCCATCCATAAGACTGTAGCCAACAATTCAGTCTCAAACTGGTTGTCATTTTTTTGTATAGACAAGATCTTAGTTACATTTTCCTTAACTTGTTGTACAAACTGAGAAGTTTGGACAGTTTGTACCATGGATGAAGCAGCAATTCCCACAGAAGTAAGTAACATTATGAGGGCAAAGATTCCTGCAATTAACATTCCAAGAAATCTTTTTTGTCATTTTAAGATTTTTACCAGATCATGTAACAGTTGGTAGGTTTGATGAGATTCCCAAGGCTTGCTTAGTTTAGTAGGAACCCAAGCGAAAGCAGGTTGTTTTAAAATCATGAGGGAATCCTTTTGGAATGTAGAATTAATGCAATGGGGTAGTGTGCAGCCTGTGCATGACACCTCATACAGATGGCTTGTAGCATTAAGGCACATCTGGATGGGGCCTGAGAGGAGTACAAACAAATCAAACACACAGACGGTGGCAAATACTGTCTTATTGGGAGTTCCCCATAAGGTATGAATGGAAGTATCTGAGCTATAATTAAAACTATACCATTTAATAGGTGCAAGTGCAGCAGCTAATTTCCATTGCATATTTTGTAGGGGCCAATTGTCATGTTGTAATTGAGATCCAACAAATCCTTCTCCATGCCATGAAATGGAGTGATTAACTTCAACATATAGATAGGATGCATTCCCTTTCCATTTTAGGGTGTGATTGTTACTATATGCAGACCCGTAGGGGCTCCAATCCACAAAGGAAAAACTGATTAAGTTTGCTGGTGGTAGGGTAATCACTATAACAGTTTTGCCAATTAATTTCTTCCTCGGTGGGGTACCATTCATAGACTTTTTACATAATGGCTTAGTTGGGGGGGGGTGGTTTAGTACAGTTACATTTTGTGCACCTCTCCCCGGAGCAAGGAGTGATAGTAGACATATTTCATGTTTAGCTTCCCCCTCCTTTGGTGTCCATGCTAGCCAGAAGCCTCTCTTTAATTTTACATACAAAGGAGCAGTGGTTGGATTCTGTGTCGTACAAAAGGGAAGCTGAGTGGTGACACCCATGTAATTGTACTTTGCCCATATGCTTCCTTGCCCCACCTGTGGTCTTCCTGGGTGACCAAGGTGTTTGGTATTATTGGTGACTACATTAGGTGGGGGATCAGTCCACGTAAGGGGTCTTACCCATGGTGGGTCAGGAACATAAGTTCAAAATACTTCCCTATTTGCCCCTGGTATTATTACCACAGAGCTGATTACTGCTAGCATGGCAAGAAAGACATTCTCAGGCGTTCGTGGCGTTCTGGTCTCCTCACAAATTCTCTCAGCTTTTTGGACAGTCTTCTTCACCATGCCCCAGGTGACCTCCGGGCTGTTTGTTGTCTGCTGCGTCCTCCTCCCAGTCCTTATCTTCAGTGGGTTACTTGGGGCTGCTGCTGTTTGCGCCTGGGGTAGTCGATTGTCTGCAGCTGTAAGGCGAGGCTCCACATGCAAGGTCCTCATTAAACTGGCCAGTTCTTCCTTCAGACCCATGTTGAAGTTTAATATTTCTTGCGGGAATCCACACAGTGTTGGAGAAGTTTTCTGGAAATACACAAGCGTACCCTCAACCAAATGTTAAGAGGGGGTCGGGGCCCTTCCATAAACCAGACTAGGGATCTTTCCATTTAACCAGACCATTTTCCTTTGGCTTATTCTGACACCAGTGTATTTCCATGGGTGTCTTGCCATCGGCATCACAAGTGAAAAAATTTAAAGTAATTAAGGCTTGGTGTAGTCTACTTACAGGCGATTTCTCCATATTCCCCCTTTTTTGTTTTAAATAATATTAAGAGGCTTTTGGAAATCCTGCAGTGTGCTGAATTTTCAACTTTACAAAATTGCTGGAAATTATAGCTTGTGTTTCTGAGTCATTTTAACTGGGTAACAAATTTGTCATTTCTTCTGTAGAGATTTTTAGATAAGACCTTAACCAATTAATGTCTCCTAATAATTTCTGAAAGTCATTTAAGGTTTTAAGACAATTCTTTTTGTATTTCTACTTTTTAAGGCCTAATATACTGACTTTTAATTGCGGTTTCTAAATACCTGAAGGGCATATCCATTTATTTCCTCCCAGAGTGATCTTTGAGCTACATTTAGGGAGTTTCTTTTAAAAACTTTTTTCTTTCTTTTAAACCAAGCAACAAACTTTGTTGCTTCTTGGATGCTGGCCAATGCTGCCATACATACTTTCCAAGCAAAAGTAACTTTCTTTTTATTTATGGTGTCTCATTAATGGTGAGATTTAATGCTTGAACAATAATTTTTAGTTTATTTTGTAAATAGTAGTGGAAGAGATTTTAAAATTTCACTTTTCTTATTATATACATAACCTTCATAAGTGTTGTACTTTCAAAGTAGCCTTCAAACTTTCTGTATATGTCCTTTAAAAATGTATTTTTATTCTAATTTTCTTTCTTTCTGTCACTAACCTGTATATACCTTCAGTTATTAAAACTATACAATATTTAAACCTTAATTTTCTAATGATAATTAGATTGCCATTTATCAACATGCCTTTTGTAATTATTTCAAAAGACATCAATTAAATTTAAAGTTTTTTTAAATTTGATATTAAACATTTGGTTCAGAGCATAGAATTAATCCTCTTTTTTAATTGAACCATATTAAATATTGTATCTTAGGTTGAAATTTTACCACATGGACTACAATATATTTTGAACTATTAATTTCTTCAGAGAAAATATAAGAATTATTTGTTTCAAAAATAAATTTCTAAACTTTATACATTTTGTTATTACAACTATATAATTTCTCCCAATTTATTTTAAATTCTTAGAAGCTTTAAGTTTTAGGTGGCAAGTTAAATACTTAGTATTTCTTAAATTAATAATACTTTTACTTTTTTAAGGATATATTTCAAATAAAATACAAGGTTTATTTAATTAATAGATTCAATTCTACCCTCTAGATTTTTCATGAGGCAAATTTAGATTAATATTTTAGTATCTTGTTATTTTAAAATACCTAGATATTTAATAATTTTTGGTATTTAATTCAGCAATGTTCTAAAGTCTTAAGTTACCAAAGGCTTTGGAAAACTATGTTTCTGGCAAGAAGGCAGGGGAAGGGGATTTTAAAACTGCCA